TTTTAATATCCCTGTATATATATATATCTATTTTAATTCTTTTTTGAGACATCTCACTATGAAGCCCAGGCTGCGCTGACCTTGATGCTTCTCCGGTCTCACTGTCCACATGGCTGGCAGGAGTGTATTTTAATATTCCTTTTTTCTACATTGTCACTTACAGTGTGCAATTTTTGTTACATAGAAGCTTTAAGTATTTATATAAGCAGTCGGTTTTATCTATACGTTGCATTGTTAAATTATTATTTGTGTTAGATAAGCTATATTCCCTTACATCCTTATCTAGGATGTATATTTGTGGTGTTACTTTTCACATCTAGTCAGGATGAGCTAGGATTTGCTGCAGTAACAAGCCATTTCTAAGACAGAATGTCTAGCCATTATCCCTCCTTGTCTGATCACAGGCTGGCATGGAAGCCTTTGTGCCTCATCATTTCTGGGATATTGCAGACAGAGAGGCAGATCTAGACCTGGTTGTTCTGTCCCTGAAGTAGCACACTGCTCCAGCTACCAGTCTCTCTCCACTAAGAGTTGGAATACAGTGCCTCACTAATGGGTTAACTTGTGCCCCTTAGAGCTAAGAAATTTTCAGAGTTGTATTGGATATGACATCTATAAATTGTCTCTGCCATTTGTCCAGTTTTCTTGTATGGGTTATAATAGTCCCGATAAGTGACTTGCTTTTCTGTGATTTTTGTAGTATCCTAAAGAGTATTAGAAATATTTATTAAAAAAACAAAACAAAACAAAAAACCAAATAGCACATAGACCGAGATGGGTAATTCTATTTTGAAGAGAAAGACAGATGGTGTTAACTTTGGGTTTTAATAGTTTCAGGATACATTTAAGGGCCGTCAAGAAAGCCAGGTCCCCATAAGCTGTCCTCTGACTTCCAATGCCTGTTGTGGCACATGTATACACAGTGGGTGGTGGAGGGAAGGGAAAGAGGAGGAGAAGAGAAAGAATAAATATTTTAAAAGTAAAAGAAGAAAATTAAAGTTCTTTTATTCTAAACTTTTCCCTTTTAGAAGAAAGCATGTATGAAAAGTTGACCTGTTCCAAGCCAAATGTACACCTCCTTCCTTCCTTCCTTCCTTCCTTCCTTCCTTCCTTCCTTCCTTCCTTCCTTCCTTCCT